GGTAATATGCCAAGGAAAAAATGTTCTGCATAAAATTCTTCGACCCATTGACGTATCATAACATTGCTGCATTCGTAGCATTTCGATATAATCTATTCAAAATACGTAACATCCCTTCTAACAATGCATACCAGTTGTGTTGCCGATGAATGGTTGAATTACGTTGAAAATTTGTGAACGTTTTGCCACGGTCAAATCCCCGTACTAAACAATACCGATACACTTTTTGTAGAATTTTTTTCCGTTACATATTTTGAAAATAACGTGTCAAAAGATGTTAGTCATGCAAGTGCATTTAAGTGTTGAACCGGAAAAAATAAACAAAGAATATTCTAATTGACCGGAAAATTAATGGCTTTTCAAGAATTCAAGCACTGCAAATATATGCTACCTTTCCTCTAAAATAGGAATGGTTTGTGGTAACGCATAGGAAATGTCGGTCAAAGCAACCAAGTTTCAACAGCCTGTATTTCGTTTATCTACACCTTCCAGAACTTAGAGCTCTGCTGTTCTAGCATTAATCGTAGCACATGAGATGAGGCACATGAGTTCAGCGCGAGCCTCGCGCACGCCAGGATTTTTGGGTGTCGCATTTGTTTCTCGCTCGTATCTTATTCTTGCGTGTCTCTTTCTCTCTCGTCACATGTTGTTTTCGTTGCGACGGGAGACGGTTTGTTGAGAGTCTCGGCAGCACATTTTTGCACGCACGTGGAAAATGTAGCTCTGCCCAGGGATGTCTAAACGCAACACTACACTGCGTAGGGTAGGATGGTGCAAAACACACCCTTTAAGCAAAATCGTCAATGACTAGCGAATGGAAGCTAAAATCAAGAAGAAAGTAATGGCGTTTGGTTCATTACCATGTTTTCTACAAAAATCGTGTGATTTAGAACTACAAAAGGATGATTTTCCAAGACTTTCAAGGTATTTTCTAAATTGCTTCCAAAATGATAGCGGGGCAAAACGCCTGATTCATGATGCAATATGCACCACAACATTGGCACAAGACGCACGACAACAATGGCCAAAACGCACCACAACTTTGGGGTAAAATGCACCCCATGGTAAACAAACCATAACCCCTGCAAGTAGATAATGCAAAGGGAAGCGGTATTTCAAATGATTATTTCTTTATGTTACATCAGAAATAAGGTCTCAAAATCTTAATAGAATGTTAAACTGTGATTCATCAAGTAAAATATCTAAAAAATATACGAAACGTAAATTTGTTATTTTTTTTGTGATATATGATGTTAAAAGCTTAATTTACAGTCGATAATTTTTTAACAACTGTGTCCTGTTTTGCACAAAATGTAATTTTTTTAAGGAATCAGCAGGTCAATACATGATTTTATGATCAAGAATTATTTGTGAAACCTCCAGTTGAAAACAATCACAAACCGTTACCCGGAAAATGCATCTGAGGAAAAGTTATCGCTGTTTTTCTAAAAGTGGGCATTTTACCCCAGGGGTGCATTATGGGCTGTTCTCCCTTACTACCTTTTTTACACACCACCAAGAGCATTGAGTTGTACGCTCCGTACCAGTGCTCGATAGAAAACACCAAAAGCAGCAAACAAGGCACCGGTACCGGTGCCCGTGCATAATTGTTTGCACCAGTGTATGGATGCTTCGGCAAGCACCAAAGCCGAGTGTTTCTGACTTCGGCAAACACCGCAGCACCGCAAACACCGATTTCGGAAAACACGCTTTCTGCTCGCAGGAATTTTCTTTGGGCGACTTATGAAAGATTATCCAAGGTAGCCTTTAAAAGCGAGCAGACTCACACTCACACTATCATACAGGGATCGACTAAAAACTCAGAGTGGTGCAAAAAACACTGGTGCTTCTCTAAAATAAGGGAGCGCGTCCCTTATATTTGGAAGGAGAAAGAGACTAAGGAGAGAGAGATTTCATATTTAGGAGAGAGCAGTTGGAAAGCTCAGGTGCTACTCGCGTATAGCACAATCGAGTAGTGCACGGTGTTATGACGGGAGTAGCACTTTTCAATCGGGAGAGACGTGGCTTAGAGATTTACAAGAATGGCTGCTTATTTTAGGCTGGGTGCAGAATATTTTTACACTCATATAATATATGTTGCAGTGACTGTATGGTATTCAGAAGCGTAGGAAAATGCAATTTTTTATGCTTTTACTAAAGAGATGTTTTTAAGATCGATGTGTAATTTTCTTCACAAGGGGGTTAGCTCTGGTCGACATTCCGGCGAAAAATCTAAGCCAACCCGACACCAACCTGACTTCTAGCAAACCCCAATCCGATGTTGACCTGACATTGACCCGACATAAACCCCAAATTGACCCAACAACAACACGACATTGGGTCGACATCGACCTTAAATTAGCCTTACATTGATCCGACATCGGGTCGACTTGTCTGTTCGGGACCATTTTCCTGGATTTCTTCCATACTCCACTGTCGTATATCAAATGATACTGAGTGACTCAATTGACAGTGACAATGAGCTTCGAATGAGAAAGGGGCTCTTCAAATGATGGGCACGAGAGATTTTTTTTTCTCTGAATCGATTTAATAGTTGTATTGGTTCATCTTCAATCAAATGATATGAAAATTAACAGCACTGATGCTAGCTATCCTACAACGCTACAGTTATAGAGAAAGTACACAGTCGGAGAAACAAAGAGAGAGAGAAAGAGACTTAACACCGTTGGAGAGGCAGCTCTCCAACACAAGAAGAATGAAATAAGCTGCACGATTTAAACTGCTCTTTCACGTCTCTTTGGAAATGAAAGTGCAGTCCCGCAACAGCGTGTGTTTTACTCGCAAAAAATTGAGTAGCACCCGATCCCTGCTATCATAGCATGCTGTCTATCTTAACTGCAGGCAGAAGATGCCTTCTACCGCTAGATACGCTAGTGTTCGCAAATGACAAGTGGAGCCACTTTCTGGTCCGAAGTTCCACTCCTGTGCTTTATGTTAACTAATTGAGCGATTTGAGTCAATCTAATAATGATAACTTATATCCAACAACAACAAAACATCTACCATGGCTGATACGAAGCTAGTAGAAGGTAGAATGCGATCCTTTTTGAGCGCGTTGTTTTTTATTTAGGGGAAAACTGCTTAAAATGCACCTCGCGAAAATCGCTCGATGCAATTTTTCGTAGCATTCCCGTTTTTAATTCATAAATTTGACAAGTTGCAGTGCTAGTTTCGTACTTTACCTAGCATTTCGGCAACATTAAGAGTGGAATAGCTATGAAAAATCAAAACAGGCGTTTGGCACGGGGTGCATTTTGGGCTGTTCTACCCTACATGAATGGTGAGTAGTTCTGTTCACCCACCGCTATTTGGGTGTTTACATCTGTGCTGGTATGCTGATGCTAGTGAACTAAAGCTGTACTTATAAATAGTCAGCATAATGTAAACAGTTGAGCTGTTTGGTTTGGTTGGAGATAAGTTATGATTATTAGATTGAATCTAATCAAATTATATCAATCAGCTAAATTATTTAATATAAAGTCAAGAAATACCAGTGGGTGGACGGCAACAGCAACACGCTCTTCAGAAGTGGGTGATTTGTGTATTTTTAATAATCCTGGTAGATGATCCCATAAGCTTTACAATATTGCTTAATGCTTTTTAGTCAAAATAAATCGAAATGAATTTCATAGATTTATCTCATGAAATTAATGTTGACAGAAAAAAATAAGAGGTGACAAACTAGAATCGAACCATGGAAATTGGCATCATGAAAAAAAATGCTTTGACCACTTGTCTATCTGCTCGACACGAAATAGAAGATGCTAAAGGCAAATAAGAGCTTCGATAATCTTTCTGAAGTCGCCCAAAGAAATTTCCTACGAGAAGCCAACGTGTTTTCCGAAATCGAAAACACTCGGCTGCTTTGTTTGCCGAAGTCAGAAACACTCGGCTTTGGTGCTTGCCGAAGCATCCATACACCGGTGCATACAATTATGCACGGGCACCGGTACCGGTGCCTTGTTCGCTGTGTTTGGTGTTTTCTATCGAGCACTGGTACGGAACGTAAAACTCGATGCTCTTGGTGGTGTGTTTGTAGGCAAAACTGCCACCCGTGCAAAAGGGTTCAGCGTTTTTACCATGGCTGGCTCTGCCTACAAGCTACAATTGAAAAGGTCTCAACTCCATTTTGTAGACAAAATTTGTTTACAAAAATTTATATAAAACAGCAAAAAAGGTTATCTTCCATTTAATTCCACTTAATTGATTTTCGTATGCATGACAGATACGTATTTCGACTACAATGTGCAGTCTTCATCAGTGTCATTCCCACTAAAGAACTTTTCGAGAACTTATATAAAAGTCAAGATCACAGGTCACAAGTCAGGATCACATATATAACCCAATTTCATTACTTCAAAAAAAAAAATATGTTGAGCTGCCGTGCTTATTGCCACTTATACTACACCGATGCTACACCACAAAAACGAAAAAGACCATTATTTCACACATATCGTTTTTAACGGTGACGACAAAAGTGACCGAGTTGCTGGCAATGAACAAAGCGCAATAGCAATTATTGAATAGCAGGTTATCGCTTGGTTCACACCGAAAAAAATAATCAACGCTGCTGTCGTCAGCTAAAATCACACTGTGCATCTTGAATTAATTGTGCATATTTTTTTGGTGTTAGTAACTCTTTCGGATTTAGCACATGCCCTAATGGCTTTCGTCCAAATGACTCATCGCAAAAAAAAGTAAAATATTAAAAAAAAACTAAATTACAATCATGACAGATCAAAATACATACAAAACATCTGCTCGGATTCATGTCAGAAAACACTGCAGAAAAGTGACGATTTATAGCATCATTACTTTACTATTGTTGGTTGATGAAAATATCAGATAAGAACATGTTTTCAAACGAATGTCCCGCAAACACGTTGAAGATGATTGAGGACCTCTTATAGCTCCATTAATTCATTAGTTAACCAATCAAAAATCATATACCGTATCGTAGGATTAAAATGTTGACTCACCCTGTAGTGTTCGTCCAAAACCGGTGACGAAATCGACATCTCCCGCCGATGAGCTCTTGAACAGTGAAGTCTGTGGCAAACATACCGGCTGTATGAAATCCGTGTACAAAACATCCCGATTTAGCCGAAGCAATGCAATATCATTTAACATCGATTTGTCATTGTACTCAGGATGTGCGGTTTTTTCCTCAACAGGAACATCAATCGGTGGATCAGCGCAAATCTGCTCATCATCCAGGATAATGCAATCAACATCGCTCGTTGTGTCGTACTCTCCCAAGCGGACGCTTACCCTAAAAAAATAATCACACTTAATTCCTTGAGCTACTTCGTTAAATTTCGATCATGCCATCTTACAAATTTCCCTCCTTCTTTTCCACTTCACCAACGACGCAATGAGCTGCTGTCACCACATACCGATTGTTGATCAGCGATCCGCCGCAGCTGAATTTCCGCTCTTCTCTAAAGTTCTCATACTGCAGCATAGCCAACCAAGGGAACTCATCGATATCGGCATTCTCGCCACCGTAGATCCGCATACCAATGCTGATTCCACACTCGTTCTTGTTCGGATTTGGCAGAACGCCACTGGACACTTCGGCACGATTCTGCGTGCTCAGCGGTGTCACCGGTGATGGAGGAGTTGGAATTGATGGCTCAGTAGTGGCTGCTTCTGGATTATTGTTTGCCATCGATGACGAAGGAGGAGTACCTGCTTCCGGATCCTTATTTGTCAATCGGTTATCCGGACAACATACGTACGGCTGCCGCCCGGATGCAGCTCCAGTACAGACGGAAAGGCGTAGAAAGTCACGTTCCTCCCAGGTTAGAATTCGATCTCCGAAGAACGAGAGCATGCTAGGGCAATCGTAGATTGATAAACATTCTCCACGTTTGTTGGTTGGTGTTATGCATTCTAAAAGCGAGAGGAAAATCACCAATTGATTAAGTCTATATTACGCAACGGTCAGAGCGAACGCAATCCTCTACATTGTTTATGAATGAAACCGACGGGACTGACCTTGATCTTTGTGTTATCACCTTTTTACAGTTTTTTGATCAAGGTCACAGCCAGTCATAAAATTTAAAAAAAAAGCTGAAGCGAATTTCCAAACCTACAGCTAGCACATAAAACCGGTTTCGTACCCTCAGGCAAACGTAGAAATGCAACTGAACATCGGATATTGACCTTTAGTTGAGTTGGTCAGGTGACTTACGCTGTTGAATGGAATTCCGGGCAACCAGTAGAACCAGTGTCCCTACAGACCAAATCCGGAGAATCATCCCGGTGGTTGATGAGACGAGATGCGATTATCAATTCACTGAAGTAGTAAAACGAAACGATCAATAACGATGACCGACTGGACCGAAAGATGAAACTGAACTGACACAGCGGCTGGCTGAATCGTGCGAAATGAGTTGATAGCCGGCTGAGCCAATCAGGGTACGCGAATTCATTCGTTGCTGTGGAGTGTGAGCGGGAGATAATCCGGTTTCTCGTGTGCGAGGTACTAAGCGTGTTTCTGGTACTGATGACCAACTTCCAGGACAGGTTCTGTGGATTGTCGCAGTAAAGTTATGAACGGGAAGAGTTTTGAGGTGATCAATGGGGGATTTTTGTGTGGTTCTCTGCAGAGGTGCGTTCATATTATTGCCCAGATGCAGCAATATTGCCGTTGACTTCTTCTCGAGATAATTGTAAATATGCTAACGTTTTATGGACGTCTCAAGTTATTGACGATTATGTATGGAAACCATCTTCTTCAGGAAGATTGAACAAAGAACAGCTTCGTTTCAAACAAAAGTTTTCGAAAATAAGTAATTATATCAATTTCGGGACATTTCTTTTCCTCTGTTCGGGACCTAACACCACTACGACCAGTAATTTGATCTATTGTTCATGTCGTATTACTCCATCACTATTGAGAAATGATGAAGTATTCGAATTTTTTTGCAGTTGTCATTCTTGCATTTATCGCAAGGATCCGACTCTAATTAAAAGGTCCCGCTATTTATACCCTTCGATTGTTGAAACATCTTCTAAAGGTGCGCCCCTTTGTCAGTCAAAATTAGATTCCTTAGCAACAAAATTAAACTGACACCGAAAATTATCATGCATCAGAACCCTAGTCTTAATCACTTCAACCTAGGGAACAACGAATAGAAGATTAGGAATTACATAGATGAAGACTAACTAACTAATTTTTCCTTGTTTCAAGATCATCCGCGGTGGACAAAGCCGAGTCTTGTCACTATCAACAAGGCATAAACATGTAACAAGGACTAAGATGTGTTCCTTTGATTACTGAAAAATCCTTTCCCCTAGTTTGAAGTAGTCAGGACTAGGAATCGGTGGTAGATCTTACAACCCGTAACGTACCACGAAAAGGTGATCTACCCACGTTACGGGGCTGATTAATGATTATCTTGTCATGTCTCTGAGATATTCTTGCAAGATAGCTGGTTCACAAATAATGATTCCAAAAACGTTCAATTGATTAATGATCGTCATAAAGTCCTCTGGATACTGGCGTGCACAGGGTGGGGCAATCGCCCCCCCCCTTTATAAACAAGATTTTTATTTCCACACTTACAAAATTATGATGTAACATAAATGAATAACTCTGGTGGAAAAATTGAATCACGCTAAAAATTTGGAGGTGCACATTTAACTGAAAATTTCTGGTGAAAAGTTCGCAACACTGTGGTGAATGTAGAAGCAAGGTTCATTCATTTTTCTGGTGCATAATTTGCATCGTTCTGATGAATGCAAGCTTCATTGAAAATTTATGGTGGATAATTTGCACCATTCTGGTGCATGAAGAGGCAAAGCCTGAAAATTGCACCACAAAGGTGCATGGTGAAACAAACTTCACTGACAATTTTTATTGCATCGTTCTGGTGAATGGAGGAGCATGCTTTATTGAAAATTTCTGGATCAAAATTTTCATCGCTCTGATAAATTAAATGGACAGAAAATTTCTGGTGGAAAACTTGCACAGGTCTGGTGAATGAAGGCACAAGCTTTATTTAAAGTTAAGCTAAATTGAAAATTTCTGGTGGAAAATCTGCACCGTTATAGTGAACGGATGGGCAAGTTTTTCGTAAAATTTTTGATCTTAAATTTGTATCCTTCTGCTGAATAGAAAAACAAACTTTAATAATAATTTCTGGTGTAAAACTTGCACCATTCTGATAATTGGAGAGACGTTGCTTTACTGAAAATTTATGATAAAAAAATCTGAAAATAGGGGCAGCTTTATTTGGTGAAAAACCTGCAACATTCTGCTGATAGGAGAAGCAAGTTATATTGAAAATGTCTGGAAGAAAATGTAAAAAGGAAATTTGCACCAATCAGAAGATTGGAGAAGCAATTTTTATTGAACATTAACGGTAGAAAATTTGCATCGTTCTGGTCAATTTAAATTTTCTGGTGTAAAATCTCCTGAGGGCAAGTTTGTATTGAAAATTTATTGTGTAAGATTTGCAACAATCTGCTGTTTGGAGGGGCAAGCTGAATTGAAAATTCTTGATGTAAAAATTGCACAGTTCTGGTGAATGGAGGGGCAAGTTTTATTGAACATTTCTGGTAGAAAAACTACAACGTTTTGGTGAATGGACGGACAACTTAAACTTGAATTCCGAGAAGAACCTCAATGTTATTGAATTCTGAGGACAGTTCCAAAATAAAAGATTTCTGGGGATGATTCCATGAAAGTTCTGCGAATGATTTCAAGTGAATCTTGCAGATAATTCCAAGAAAATTTCGAAAAGAATACCGTGAAAATTTTGAGTGAAATTCCAAAGAGTTTTTAAGCAAAATTTCAAGCAAATTCCGAGGCTAAATTGTAGTTCATCCAGGAAAATTTCTGAAACTCTTAAAGAATTTCAGTTCCAAAGTGTTCAGATAAAAGTGAAGAGTTCTAAATATAATTCCAGTGGAACTCTGCGCTGAATTTCAAAAGAGCTCTTAGGAGAGTTCTAAATAAAATCCGAGAAGAACCTCAAAGATATTGAATTCTAAGGACAGTTCCAAAGGATTTCTGGGGAGTATTCCATGAAAATTCTGCGAATAATTTCTAGTGAATCCTGCAGATAGCTCCAAGATAATTCCGAAATGAATACCGAGAAAATTAAATTTTGAGTGAAATTCCAAAGAGAGTTTGAGGAAACTTCAAAGGAGTACCGATAATTTATAGCTCATTCCGGGAATATTTTTTGGATTATACTGAGGAAATTCTTCTGAAACTCTAAGAGAATTTCAGTTCCGAGGTGTTATTGTAACAGTCAAGAATAATTCTAAAAACAATTCCAGAGGACTTCTGAGAAGAATTTCAAAAGAGCTCATGGAGTTCTAAAAATTTCGAAAAGAACCTTAAGGAATTTTTCGCTACTGGACTTTTTCGTGGATGGACTTTTTTGCAACTGTACAAAGTTTAAAAATGGTGAGTTGACAACCTGGAAGGAGCGGAATACCTAGCGCTGGTTCTCACAAGTTCCTACTTCACGCCTCCCCGAGTCATATGATAACAAAAGACTACCAGCGGAAACATGGACACAGCTGGGTGGCGTAGCCTGGGCAATGTTGCCAGTCCGGCAATAGCAAAGTGAAGAGGTGCGACGCGAACACTGGCGCGGTAACCATAGTACGGTGATAGAGGAAATGCTTCACCAAACCTGAGCGTCTGTTCACCATGGAGGTCCGGCTCAAAACGGCGTCTGTTCTCCATGTTAGGAGCGGCTGATTACCGTCCTAGTGCCAGCGTGGGACTCTAAACAGAGCTGTGCACGATGGTCCCCCGGTGAGACAGGGGGTTGGGGCAGGCCCAACAAGCCGCCCTGGAAAAAACAAAGTTGCAAATACCGAAGAAAGAAATACGGATCGGAAAAAATCGGCACAGACCTACGCGACGAAATAAGGACTACGATTGGAAACTCGGAACATGGAACTGCAAATCGCTTGGCTTCCCGGGTTGCGATAGGTTAATCTATGACGAACTTCAACCACGCAACTTCGAAGTCGTAGCACTGCAGGAACTTTGCTGGACGGGAAAAAAGGTATGGAAAAGCGGGCATTGAGCGGCTACTTTCTACCAGAGCTGTGGCAACCTGTAGCAACCAACGAGCTAGGAACCGGCTTTGTAGTGCTGGGTAAGATGCGCCAACGCGTGATTGGTTGGCAGCCGATCAACGCGAGGATGTGCAAGTTGAGGATTAAGGGCCGTTTCTTCAACAACAGCATCATCAACATGCACTGCCCACACGAAGGGAGACCCGACGACGAGAAAGAATCGTTCTATGCGCAGCTGGAGCAGGTGTACGACGGCTGTTCGCAACGGGACGTCAAAATCGTCATCGGCGACATGAACGCTCAGGTAGGACGGGAGGCAATGTATAGACCGGCAATCGGGCCAAACAGCCTGCATGCCGTATCTAACGACAACGGCCAACGATGCGTGAACTTTCCAGCCTCCCGGGGTATGGTAGTTCGAAGGTCCTTTTTCCCCCGCAAGGATATCCACAAAGCCACCTGGAGATCACCTGACCAATACACAGAAAACCAAATCGATCACGTTCTAATCGACGAGAAATTCTTCTCCGACATTATCAACGTCTGCACGTACCGCAGTGCGAACATATATTCGGACCACTACCTAGTTACAGTATGCATGCGCTCAAAACTCTTGACGGTGCATAACATCCGTCGAAGTCAAACACCGCGACCCAACATTGAGCAACTACGGGACGCCAGAGTTGCCCAGGACTGCGCGCAGCAGCTGGAAGTTGCACTACCCACGGAAGAGCAGCTTGGCGCAGCTTCTCTTGAAGATGGCTGGAGGGACATTCGTTCCGCCAAATGTAGTACTGCTGCAGCAGCACTAGGTACTGCAATCCTGGAGAAATTAGTAGAGGTGAAGAATGCAGCACGTGCGAGAATGCTGCAACACCGCACGAGATTGAATGTGAAGCGATACAGACAAGCGCGGAACAGACAAAACTCGATTTTCCGAAGGAAGAAGCGGAAGCAGGAAGACCGAGATCGCGAGGCGATGGAAAATCTGTACCGCGTAAACGACACACGGAAGTTCTACGAGAAGCTAAATAGATCGCGCAAAGGCTACGTGCCGCAAGCCGACATGTGCTAGTTGTTGGACGGTAACCTTCTCACACGAACGAGTGTGAGGTGATTGAGAGGTGGATGCAGTACTATGACGACCACTTCAACGGTGAAGCAGCAGAAAACGAAGGTGGCACGGCAACAGACCTTGGAGCACGCGCAGAAGACGACAGGCTACTGGCCCCTGATCTTCAAAAAGTTGAGGAGGAGATCGGTCGACTGAAGAACAGCAAAGCAACTGGTGTAGATCAACTACCAAGTGAGCTATTAA